CGCCGTCGCCGCCGTCACCATGTCCACCATTGTGCGACAGACCTGAGACCCTGTGGTTCATGCAGCCGTACAATCGAAAAAGTGACGGTGGCGGAAGCAGTATCGGCGGCAGTAGTAAGGCAGCCGGGGTGGGTCGCGTGGCCGGGTGAAGAGCCCAACAGGGGTTGAAAGGCGGATGGGACCTAAAATGCCTTTATCGTAAATGATTATAAAGCCGATTTGTTTGGGCTGGCAGACGGGTTCATGCAATACAGGAGCGAGGGCGACGACTAAATCCTAAAGTTTCACGCAGCATGTATGATGTGTGCGTGCATGCGTGCGGCGGCAGCAGCACCCATCGACGCCGACACCAACGCCCGTTACAATCCGTGTAACCCCGAAAAGGACAAATGGCCCATCATCGCGAGCTTCAGGCCGGCCAGAGCGCCGCTCACATGGTCGCACCGGACGGCCCTCCCCCCACCTCACCTTCTCTCCGCGCCATGGCCACCGCCGTCACCGTTGCCGCTACTCCCCGCATCGCCAGTGCCGCCGATAACAATGCCACTGTCGTAGCCCAGGCGCCGCCGCTGGCGGCGCCGCCAGTCTTCGTCCTTCTCGTTCTCCTCCACCTCTACCTCCTCCGCTTTCGGCTCCTGCTCCGAAACCCTCCCCGCCATGTGGCCCCGCTGTTGCTCCTGGGAGCCCGCTCCTTTCCCGTACTCTACAGCATTTTCGTCGTACTGGCAAGCAGCAACGATCTCCGCCGCCGCTGGCGCCGCCAGCGCAGCGCGCGCCGCAGCTGCCGCTGCGCCGCTGCGCGTCGGCGTGCAACGCCCATCGAACGTCGCCGCCGCCGTGGCAGCTGCACCGGTGGCACCGCCGCCGCCAGCACCGCTGGCAGAAAGCTTCGTCAGGTCTGGTGCGCTGCCGTTTGTTGCAGCTTCCCTTGACTGTACATTCATGATGCGGCCGTCCGGGCCGAAGCTGAAGGTCGGCAGCAGCGACGCGATGCCGAATGACCCACGGGTCGGTTGTCCGCCACTGCTGCCGTGCGGCGCCGACGCCAAGCAGGAGGAAAGGGAGGGGACAGAAGTAATCGTGGCGAGCAGCTGCGCCGTGGGGGCGCCGCCGGTGGTGGCGGTGTGGGCTGAGGAGTCTCGTTCCGGTGATGGGGGCGGGGAAGGATTGGGTGACCGGGGCCGCTTGGCGGCGGCAACGGCTCCCCGGCTCCCCTCCATGGGCGGCGGCGGCTCGTCTGCAAAACGGCCTGCCGTCGTCGCCACCTGTGGAAGCGGAGCGCTGCCGCTGCCGGCGCCGCCCCCGCTGACGCCGTTGCTAGTGGCATGTTCGGGCGGCCTGGGGTGATGGAGCGGCTGTGCCTGTGCTTGGGCGGCATTTTCCGAGCGGCCTAGCAAGGCCTGCGAGGGGGCCGCAAGAGATCCAAGTAGAGGCAGGAAAACGATGAGAATAAAAGATGGGTGGAGAGATGTACTTCTCTATCGTACGAGAGTACTCTGCTTGTACGGTAGTGCTGTATTTGCTTTGTAGTTTCCACCTGACGGCGCAATGCCTAATGCGGTACAGGGCCCCTATCCACTCCCACCCTGCACCGCCCAGATCAGCCCACCTGCAAATGTGCCCCCAGGCCTCCGAGGTTCAAGCCAACCAACACTGCTGGAACATGAAGCTGCGGCTGCTGAGACTGCGACTGGTTCTGATACGGTTGCTGCTGTAGCTGTAGCTGTAGCTGCTGCAGCTGGCCTGCCGAGATGGTGCCCAGGTTCGCTGCCGCTAGCGCCGCCAGCTCGCCCCCCAGCACCGCCGCCCCTCCGCCTCCACCTCCTTGATTTACACGCAGATGAGAGGACGGCTGCTGCTGCTGATGATGATGATGATGATGGGGCGCACCAGAAAGGACTTGATTCCCCGTTGCAGCAGGATCCGGACCCCGCCCCGAACCTATGCTTGGCAGCTGTTGGGCCTGCTGCTGCTGCGACGGCGGCGGCGTTGGAAGTGGGGGTTGTTGAGGCGGCTGCGCCGCCGTCTGCAGCTGACAACGCGCTGCAATAAGCTGCTGCAGCAGCGAGCCCGCAGCGGTGGCTGCTGCCGCCGCCGATGATGATGTGTTGGTGCCGGAGGCGGCGTTGGCTGTCTGGCCTGGCGCCGCGATTGCGCAGCCCTGCCGGCCGCCGCCGCCGCCGCCACCGCCGCCGCTTGCTGCCATCAGCACCGCCGTCAAGCCGGTCAGCTGCTGCTGCTGTTGCAGGGCCGGCAACGAAGCTGCCCCCCCCCCTACCGCCGGTGCCAGCGCGCATGTGCCACTGCTCCGCCGCTGGCCCAGCTGTGACTGCTGCTGTTGCTCCGGAACCGGAACCGCTCCTCCAATTCCGAGCACAGGCGCCTGGACAAGAACGCCGGTGGGCAGAGTGGAGCCTCGTAGCCGTGGGTCGGCGGCGCCGCAAGCCACCGCCGCCACCGTCGCAGCGGGTAAGTGTACGGTGTCCTTGAATATTCCCCATCCCGGGTGGCCCGGGGCCCACCAGGATGCTGCGGCCTGCTGCTTCATCTGCCGGAGCACGTTGAGGAATGGTGGGTCCAACTCGTCTTCGGGGCTGACGCGGACACCGCCGCCCACGACATTGTGGACCAAGGCTGATGGTGCAGAGTACGGGCGAGTGTGAGGGTGCGGACAGGTAAGGGAGTTTCGTACACGATACTTGCAGTGGAGCGGGGAGTTGGGGAAGGTAGGAGATTGCGGGGCAGGGCCTGGCAGGGCAGGCCGGGGTAATCAACCTTGTGTATTGCTCGTACAAAGCAGGACGGTAACGTGTCTGTCTGTATGTGTGTGTTTTATCGATCTGCGCTACGAGGTAATGGCGGTACAGACGTGACTTTAGCGGTGCAACGGAGCACGTCTGTCTGTGTGAAAGAGATAAGGGGGGCTCTCTGTATGAGATGTACAGCGGCATCCTGGTCAGGCGACTGCGGACTGAGCGGGCGCTGCGTGGCTGTCTTCAGGGGAGAAGGAAGAAAGGGAGAACGGGAAAGACGAACCACAGGCGAGTGATGCTTATGCCAGGAAGGGGAAGGGAGAGGAAGCGAGGTGCCAAGAGCACAATCCTTGTAGAGCTGCCTCTAGAAAGAAGGATGGGTGGAGCGATGTTGATTATGATTGTTTGTGATTGATTATGAATGTTGATTATGATGATGAGGGGACAAGGGAGACTTATCAAGAGATGATATTTTAGAAGCGAAGAGGGGGGTGGGAGTCATTTGCAAAATAAGAACAGCGGGGTGGGTGGGGGCGGGTGGCCGAGTGAAGCGATCCACTGCTACGTTGTGCATGCACTGCCCTAACCACCCACATGCCGCCGTGCCTACCATGCATCCTCTTCACTCCCAAAACCCTTACACGTCCTCACGCCTTCCTCCCCGCCCTTTCCCCCAAATGCGTGTCCTCAGATTCATCCCTTCATACTATCGTGCCCATGCTCCATGTGTAAGATATGTGGCATAAGCTTCGCGTGCCCGCTTCCCGAATGGAACGAAGCCAGGCCAGCCCCTCCCCTCCCCTCCAACCCCGGCCGCGCGCTTTTTACCCTACACATAAATACACACTCACATACAGGTTCTTTGAGCAGTACAGCGCCGTACTTGCACCCGAACACCAGTCCCACACTTAGCGGGGGAGTGATGGGGCTCCCCGAGGGGTACCAAACCCGCCGGCGGAAGTCGGACAGTACGGCCTGGGCTGCGTGGGCGGCCGCCTCGTCCCACTTTTCCTTGGACAGCTTGAGAATCATTTGAAGCTACACCGTCGGATTGGGATTGGGATTGGAATTCGAATTGGGATTGGGAGGTAGGAGTGAGAAGTCATCGCGACGATATGTACGTTAAACCGTGGGAGATGTACTAGATTGCAACAGATTTGGGTATGAACCGAACTGTCGACATGTCCGATGATGAGAGGGCACGGGAGGGATTCATACGATTATGGTGATGATGGTGGTGGATGAAGGAGGAGAAGCCAAGGGGTCCGTCAACTGCCTGCCTGTCGATACGTGTCCGAGAGGATAAGGGGCGGAACAGGAGGGCAGCAGAAGTAGTCTCAGTCCAGAGGATCTTTAGAGGCCGAAGGCAACTGCAACTTCCGTCACCTCCCGGCCCCTGCCCCGGAGGTCCCACACCACTTTACAACAGCCGGCCATCACAACAGTAGAGTCCACCCCAACGTTCAATCCTCTACACTTTTTTCCTTTTCCTCCTCCTCCTCGGAAACCACAACACCACTGAGGAATTTCTCACCCCTCCATCCCACCCCAAGTAGCGACCACGACCAACAACTTGGCTCTCTTGCAAACACAACCAAGAAAACATGCACTCCCCGGCAACGACGACAACGACGATAACTTACCACTTTCTTGAGCTGTCCGTCCTTCTCCGCCCCCTCCGCCAGCGCCAGAAACTGCCCCACGCTGCTCACACTCGCGGACACCCCCTCCGGCAGCCGCAGATTGACCCCCAGCTCCGCCGCCGCCGCTCTCAGGTCCGCCAGCTTCTTGACCGTCTCCCTGCCGATGTGCTCTATCTTGCTGACGTGGTCGTCCAGCAGGGGGATGTCGGCCTTGTTGGCCTGCTTGACGCGGCGAGTGGCCACCTGCCGCCATGGAGGGGTGGAGTGGGGGGAACGGGGGTAAATGAGGCGGGGAGGATGGAGGAGGCGGTGGTGATTGTGGGGGAGGAGGAGAAGAAGAAAATGGTTGAGGAGGAGGTGGAAGAGGAGGACGGAAAAAGGGACGAACGGGGTGGGTTTCGGCAAACTGGGGAGTGTGGATGTGACGCGGAAGGAGGGAAAGATGCATGCCATGGCATGGCATGTACATGTTGCACAGTGCGCCATGCCAAGCACAAGACGGGCGGGGTGTCCTGCATCTCATAGCCCCATGTTTACGGCCCTGGGTTCACCACGACGACGGTCTGTAACAGCGAAACCCAAATTCCCCGGATAGCCCTGTGTTCGAATCCCCGGAGGGGCCCCCCTTAACCACATACACATACATACCACCGTGCGTAATTCCCTGCATGGTATCCATACTTAAACTCCTGCAAGCCTGCAGTCCCCCGTACGGCATACTTCCTTTGGCAAGCACTCTCCACTAGGTGTGTGTGGTGGTGGTGGGGCCCCCGAGGGGGCAGCGACCGTTTTCAGTCGGGCGCAACCTTGAGGCTTTAGGTCTGAGATTGAGAGGAAATCTGCGACATTCCTGAATCCGTCGCCACTTCCCCCTCCTCGCCATTCCCACCATCGCAGCCCCCCCCTCCCACCCGCCCGCCCACGCACCACAAAATCCTCCGACACGGCATACCCGTACGCCGGCATGGGCACCGCCGTATCGTCCGCCGATACCGCCGACACCATCAGTCTGAAAGGCGGCTTACGTCCCGTCAACAGCGCCTCGCTGCTGTCCGTGACGGTGAGGTCGGGCAGTGCGGCCACACCCCGCTGGGGAGAGAGGGGAAGTGGGGGTACGAGGAACGCACGTGAGGGGGGTCGGGGGCGTGCGGATCTGGACGTGGGGGCGTGTGGGGTTGTGAGGGGCGATGGGGGATGGGAAACGGGCGAAGTCGTACGCATGCTGAAGAGAGTACAGGGAAAAGGGCAACAACTCGGGATGCGAGGATACTCCAGGGAGGGGGACTCTTCGGACCGCGGAGTTGGTCAGTCGGGAGGGAGGCAAAAGAAAACCCGGCGGTCTGGAAAATTCCCCTCACGCCCTGTCTCGTGGCCCCCGGCCCTCTGGGCCCCGGGGCCCAAAGCCAAGAGCTAAGTCTCCAGCGGAATCCTCTTTCCCCTTCCCCACCACCACCACCGCCTCAGCGGCCGTCGCCACCCTGGTCATGTTAGTCCTCTCGTGTCGTCAAGCCGAACTCCCTTTTCCCCCCCGGGGCCTCCCCCCCTCTGCACCCTCCCGCACCCGCCGAACCCCACCTCGGGCTTGATTAGGATCCTTCGGGACGCAGCGGCTGCCGCTACACCCGCTGCCTTGTACTGCAGTAGCGGCTCGTCCTGCACCGAAACCACGGGGGGGTTGAGAGCAAAAATTTGGTTAAAACACGCGAACATGGTCTCCCGACCGTTGGGGGGATCATATGCAAGGAAACAAGGAATGAACTGCCGCAGTCGCAAGTCCGAAATTGCTGGTGTCCTAAGCGAGGAAGTCATGGACACGCGGTTCCAGAAGTAAAGCCCGTCATTAGGTTACCGACATGTTTGTGGTGTAGTCGTCGTCTGGTCTCGTAAGATTGTCGCTGAGGTCCTTGGCACCCAGCGTAGTGCAGACAAGCTGTATCTACTGGATATACGAATGAGCTGTACGTACTGGATATACTGAACGAATGTACTAGTGGTAGTAAAGGTCAAGCCCGGCTAGCTTTGCCACCAACTCAAACAGTGAATGCGAGATGTGCCCGGAACCTCATCCGATCGGGGGGTTGGGGTGGGGAGGGCGAAAACAGAGGCCCATCCCATAGCCTTTTGGGCTTTGGGGGTAAGGTGGAGAGGCTTTAGGGGGTTTGAGGATTACTTAGGGTGTGGTCCGCGGGTTTAGTCAGCGGCTAAAGATGGCTAAAACTGAAACCTGATAAGGCCCCGTACATGCAGACAAAGGCAGAAGCCCGTGATTTCGGAAGCCCGTGATTTCAGAGCAGAAGAGGTTGACAAGGAGGGCAAAGCGGGTTAAGAAAAGCAGGTGACGGAACGGCGAGGCTCCCCCTGAAGGCTCTTCACCCTCAAACGCTCAAGCTCTCAAGCCACCGCACCCCCCTTGAGATTCAACCCTCCCTTCTCCCCTTCCTCCTTTCCTTCCTCCCGCCCTTTACACACCCACCCTCCCTTTCCCCCCATCCATCCAAGGGGAGGTGGTGCGCTGCGCACACCCGCGCCTTCCTTCCCATACGTGTGTGCCTATGTGTGTTTCATGCCATGTGATCTCCCGAACCCACTTCCCCTCTCTGCCCCCTCCCCCCTCACCCGGTGGTTGGTTAGCTTGCTACACGCCCTGAGGTCGTCTGGTCCCAGTACGCGGTGGTCGCCACCGCGCTCCTTGAACATCGCCCCGTCCAGCAAAACCAGCTGGCAGGAGCAGCGATATCAGCAGGGGTGGCGGCGTCAGCAGTAGCAGTGGCAGGAACGGTAGAAGCAAAAGCCATGGCATGTTCAGCAGGGACAACGCCAACAACAGCGACCCTTAGCAGACAGCGGCGGTCTCAATTACCAGCAGCACGAGCAACATCGATAGCACCACCAGCAGCAACGTACGGCACTAACGTACGTACGTACGGTGTACATACGAAGATATACCTCGGGCCCCTGTTCGTGTGCCCACATGCTTCTCACACCCTATCCGTGGATCGATCCGCTGGGGTTCCGACCCTCGTTCTTTTCTCCTATCAAGCCACAAATGCTGCAACGCCAAGCCCTCCCACCCCTCCCCTTCCCTCCTCGCCCCTCTTCCCCCTCCCCTCCACCCTCTCCTTGGAAGCACCTCACCTCCAACATGACATTGTTGAGCTCCTCCTCCTCTATCAACGAACCCGGAGCCCGACCCACCGCCGACCCACATCCACCACCTCCTCCCCCCCACCCTCCGCCTGGCCCAGCAGCTGCGGCGGAGTCGTTGCCAGGGCCGCCGCCACCGCCTCCTCCTCCAGCGGCGCCTCCTGCACCTCCAGCTGCGCCCCCTGTCCTCCGTAGCTCCACTCGAATGGTGGCGCCGCACTTGGCTCTCAACAAGTCCCCCACCAGGTACTTCTTGCCGAAGTTCCGCTCGCACAGCCGCAGGGGGTTGTACTGACACAGCATGCACTGCGGGTCGCGGCAACCCAGTGCACTGCGGGAAGAGAGAGAGGGGGTGGGGAGACGGCGGGCGGGAAGGGGTGCGTCGGTAGCTTCGCGAGACCCCCACTCGCTCCCTACACTCCCACAGCCCTACACCCCACACCCCGTAACATCCCTACACTCCTGTCGCGTCGCCCCTTCGCCAAATCCCCCTTAAGGGTCTTTCAAAAACCCCTTACTGCCGAACAGATCTGAGGGACCCCGCGACTGCCGACCGCCCTGCCGACTTCGTTGAGCACCTTTTCCTCCTCTCCTGATTTATTATATACACAACCACGTTAATTTCCTTCCTTCCCTCCCGAATGCAGGTCCGAGTCCGCGATGCGGTCTTCCTTAACCTTCCAGATCCTTTGTGATCCCATCCAAACTACGCCTCCACGTCCACTCATCCTAAACTTCACATTCCATAACGGGTAAAACCTATAATAGCGCAGCGCTTTGGCGTATCTGGCATGCTTGGCAATAATTGAGCCGCCCTGACGTACTTACGAGCATTCGTGTCGGAACACCAAGCACAGGGGCCTTGCCGCCGCAGCGCCCACATCCCAGGTCGCGGAGCTGCTGGCCGCCTGAGGCTGCTCCGGCGGCGGTGCTGGCAGCGGCAGCGGCTGCGACGCTACTGCGGCCGCCGCCGCCTTGGTTGAGACCGTTGGCGTCGACGGCCGGCCCTGCGTGCCCACCGCACCCGTACCGTCAACCAGGCCCAGTGTCTGTGCCGTAAATGATGGCGACGGCGAGTGCGACGGCAGCGGTGGCCTCGACTGAGACCGCGCCGACATTGCACCCAGGGTGGCGGCAGCGGCGGTTCCGCCACCGCCTCTGCCGCCTCCCTGCATGCCGCCGTCAACCATACCCGCCAGCGCGGCGGCGGCCGCCGCTGCTACTGCTAAAGCTGCACCGGGATGGACGACCGGCCGCGGCGGCGGCGGCGGAGCCGCCTCCGCTGCCTCCGCCACCATTGTCCCTGTGCCGTCGGCGGCGGCGGAGCCGCCGCCGCTGCACACGCCGCCACTTCCGCCACCGACGGCGGCGTGCTGCTTCAGCAGCTTGTCAATTTGCGGCAGTGGAGGTTGCTCCAGTAGGTCCACGTACACGGCCTGCTGGACCTGGGCCTCGGACAAGTGGGGTGCATGCTGTCCGGCGAAACGGCGAGCAAAGGACCGCAGGCGAGTGGCAACATACTCCTGGATGGGGATTAGAGACGCCAGGGCAGATGGGGAGGAATTATATGCATAAAGTAAAAAAGATGCAAAGTTGAGCTATGTAGGATGCAAGGTGTGTGGAGCTTGTGGGCCCCTCTCAGGTAATGCGACGAGCGCACAGCTGCCGCTACAGCCATGTCATATCAGCTGTGCCCGCACGGGCGCATCGGACCTTTCACGTCCCATCGCCATGCGCTTGTGCCCCTCCTTACCTCCGCCACTCCGCCGGGGCCCCCTACATCCCTCCCCTCCCTCCACACACTCTCCAGAATTCCCCTTCCCCCTCGACCCAGTTCGTTACGGCCACCATCCAAGGAGGGAAGAATGGAAAGCAAAAGGCCCTCACAGATCCACCAACCGCCATCGATGGGCGGACAAAACCAACGCTACAAGGTCCCCGCTTCCTTCCTTACGAAGGTAGCTAGAGGTCCAGATCAGGGGCTGGCGGGGTTTGGGTCGTATTGCTGGTTGTATACTAGTTCATATGCTGACCGTTGCGGGGCGTAGCCGCATTGGACCTCCCCAGAGTTCAATGGCTGTGTGGGGTTTGCGCGTGAGTGGCTGAGCAGTGTACGCGGTGGAAGGAGTGCTAGGTCCGAAACTAGGAAGGTCCCGGGGAAGCCAAGAGTGTGAGTGCCGGTGCGCTGTTGCGCGTTGCGTGCTGCTGCTGCATGGAAGCGGCCTGGAGGGCTTGGGTGGGTCTTTTCAACTGTCAGGTTAGGGGAGGAACGGGGTTTAGCCGTCCCTCTTGGCATCATGGCTGTCGCCATCCTGTTGCATAGCTTCAGAGTTGGGCGTGTCAGGAATCCGCTGAAGGGATTTGCTGAATTGAATGAACTGATATGGGTGGCGGTGAGACGGAGGGGTTAATCAGGGGGGGCAAATCCCGGTGGCCAGCGTCGGCGGGACGCCGCCGTCAAGAGGGCTACTATTTGCCGCGTGCAAGTTAGCGCGCGCTATAGAGGTTCCTTTAGGGTTCACCGCGCTGGAGGTGTACGATTTGAGTGTCAGGGAGCGTGTTGAAGGGAAACGTTGTATGCAATACGTAGGGGCTGGGTCTGTTGTTGGATTGGCCCTAAGGATTGTTTGTTCTAAAAGATGCGAAGCTGGGGTGTCATGGCGCCGACCCTCTATTGTCAAGGGCTTGCAGGGCAGTAAGCCGGTCGTTTCCGAGACGTGACGGGGCATGTGAATGCATACGTAAGTTGGATGGCGCATGCCTTGCAGGGCTGCTTGGTGCCCGTCAATTTACAACTTGCTGATACCCATATTAAAGATGGGAGGCGCGTCCTGCTGGACTGTCCGGTGTACGGCGAAATCAGATCCGATATGGATTTCCCACGCTTTGAAAATAATGAAGGACGCTATGACGTGGGAACCTGAACGTCTGGCGAAGATGCTGGAACGTATGTGGTCCAACCGCAACTCTATCGTTCCCTTTGCTTGTTGGTCTCCTTTATCACATGCTTTGTCAGGAGTGCGCGCTAAGGTGGTGCTTAAAGGCGATCTGGCAGCCCTTGAACCCTCGGCTCGCATTGGGCGGTTTGCAGGTACCGGTTATGCACCCCCACGACCATGTAACACACACACAACTTGCTCCAAGGCTTCCAGCACGTGCCGCACGCAAACAGTCAAGGGCTAACGAGAATTGTAAGCAATGTATCCTGCTGTTTCCTGCACTTCGTTAGCTAGCTTGTACATGACCTGGTGGTGCTTAGGAAGCCGCGGACAGTTGTCTGCACAGAGGAACTCCTCTTCCCTCCTCCCAAAATTTGGATAACATAGCTTTTCAGTAAAGCTCACCTCGATAAGGTTCTTCAATTCATTGTCCATTTCAGAGCACGGTCACGTAAGGCACCGTCGCCCCACGAGGGGCGAGCGGCCCCGCAATCGCCAGCCTTAAGGCGCTGGCCTCTCTCTCAACGCTAACAAAGAGAGACTTGAAACATGTACGTCAACATGGAGATTAAGCGCTGCGTAATAGCTTCCAGTTTCGCAGGTTCCCAGTTTCCAGTACTCAAAATTGGAACAGCAGCAACTACTCTATAGACTGCATAGTTGCCAAGATGGAAATCTGTAAAACACCTCGCTGCACTTGTGCCTAATAGAATGTAGCGTCAACTAGTACCGCAGGACGAGGAAGGACATGAGGTTCGACGGGAACCTTTTAAGGAGCTGTAGCTCAGAGCAATTACATGCGCAGAGAGCGTTGACTTTTTCACAAATAGCGCAACCAATCGCCCACCTTCCTGACCGACTTGAATCTATCCCGACCGTACGGCACCCGAGCACCTTAAGCTGAAGAGAAGCTACGTCTGATAAGCACGCGGAACCAGTACAAAACGTCCATAACCGTCGCCAGGGATAGGGCCATTCCACTGGCTCGGTGTGGCTCCACCCCGAACACGTAATTTACCGCGAACCCCGCGTGACAATTTCGCGTGCCAACGTTGCCGCATGCCAATTAACCCAATAGAGCATATAATATCTTCCCACTGTTTCGCTTCGCATGGAGTTGCGACAAAGTTTCACCGAGGGCACAACCGGAGCCCGTTTCCTAGCAAAAAGACGGGCAGCGGGCACCTCGTGACGGCCTCGCTTGCGGACTTCAGATTTGTCCTGTCGAGTTCATATTTATTCTTGGAAACGATATCCTAGGAGGCGTTCCAGCAAACCATGAACGAGTATGGCACAGGACGAGGAAATACGTCATGTTCCCATCTTCTTTCCCGTACCATCAACAGCCCCCACCAAATCCGTGTGCACAACAAATTCCACCCTATTCGCGCACCTTACTCATCCCTCCTCCTCCTCCTCTTGCTTTACGATACTCTTCACGCTCGTGGTGCAAAGCCACCAGGTAACGTTTTCCCCGTTCCCTTCACCGCCCGACTCCAACCCCCCGCCACCGCCATCACCACCACCGCCATCACCGCCACCATTACGACGTCGAACCTCTCCATCACCACCAGGTGCATCGCCCCCCTGGTGGTTTCCCGCGTGAGCGTCACCACCACCACCACCGCTGATGCTGCCAGTCCCACCGCAACCGGTACCACCCTTAGCTCCCCCAGTTCCGCCGATTCCCCGCTCGCCACCTTGGCCCTCATTCCGGTGGCCAACCCGATCCTTAGCCTCAACTCCAGCTTGGCCACCCATATCCGTATCCATATCCGTGTCCGTACCCGTACCCGCGTCCGTATCTGTATCCGTAGCGTGCTGTCCGTCGGTTCTTCTTGGACCTGAACCTCCCGCCACCTCCGATCTCGCAGCGGAATCTGCCGTACACTTGATCGCCTCTGCCGTTGCCGTTGCCGCTGAGATCCTGCGGGGCCGTGTCCTCCCTGAAGTGGCGACTGAGCAGTGCCCCAGCCGCTGCGTGGAGGTAGTGAGCTGGAGGCTGGACAGCGCCGGGGAAGAGGGGGAGTCAGCGCCGCCGCTGCCGCCGCCGCGGCCGTCTCCGTTCCGTACATCGTCATGGCTCATCCGGCACGCTGGCCGCTCTTGCCGCCGAACCTGGTCCGGAGAGGCCGCTCGGCCGCCGCTGCTTCGACCCGCAGCAGCGCCGGCGGCGGCGGTGGCGGCACCGGGCCTCCCACTGCCCGTTCGTATGGTGATGAAAGCCTTGAAGGAGCGTTGGAGCGCCCCCACAGTCACCAAATAGAACGGAGCGGAAATGGGACCAGTACAGCCAGCCCGGACCGTGGGGGAAAGACGTGGGGCCGGGGAGGCGAGGGAGGAGGAGGGAAGGAGGAGGAGGAAAGGAGGAGGGAAGGAGGAGGCGGGAAGGATTAAAAGGAGGGGGCAGGGGCCTTCCCCGGTCGAATGCCCTTTTCCAGCAGATGCTCATGAACCTGGACAGGCAGTAATTCAGCCGGTGGCTTTCTTATGGACTGAGCCGCGAAAAGGAAGAGGTGGTGAGGACACCTACGCTTGCAGTCACCCCCCCTCGAAGCCCTGCTGGCTGGCGGGACCCACTTGAAGAGTCTTGCGCAGTGTACGGGAATTGGCCGAGTCCGCGCCGTACGGCAGTCTCCCGCAAAGCCGAAAGCCGCCGGCGCCGCCGCCGCGGCGGGTGCTGCGGCCACGTGCCACGAGCTGCGACTCCTCCTCCACTGACGCCGACGCCGACGCCACCCCTGTTGGCTGCACCTCCCCCGCTGCCTGCCCCGCGGGTACCTCGGAAAGTGGGGCTTCTGACCCGCCGAGCCCTAAACTGCCGCCTGACCCGCCGCCAGGTCCTTGGTGTACGACCGTACCGTTTGGACCCGTGCCCGTTCCCATGCCCGTGCTTCTGTCAATACCCAGCATGGCGCCGCCGCCGGTGTCCGTAGCGGCAGCCCCTGCGGGAACCGCCAGTGCTAGAAACATCTTCGTAGGCCCTACATGGGTGCGTACAGGATGTGTGGGATGGGGTTCAACGCGCAAATGCAAATGGGCGTTACTTCGTGACAGACCGAAAGTTGTTATTTCTGAAGGAACGGGATCCACTCACCTGGCCAAGCTCACATATGGGAGAGTGCTTCGGCGGTCGTGTCCGTTGGGTTGCCCCTGGCCAGCGTCAGCCCCGGATCGATGTTTAACAGAAGCATACATATATACCAACATACATACGTTCTTGTTTACTTACATACATACATATCTCAACTCGGCTGTGTCCTGTGATGTCATGGCGCCCGTCAACACCCGCTTAGCTACCCCACCCCACCCCCTCTACCTGCATCTCGCCACCCCAAGCCCCGACCCCGCATTAACAGCCCCTGACTCCAGGGCGACGTGGCGCACATCCACACGACCATCCTCGCCTGTCCTCGACCCCTTCCGACCGAACTCTCCTTCGAAAGCCCCCGTCCCGCACCTCGAAATCCGGTTCCCCTCTCCCCCGTACCGCACCCCAACCTACGGACCAGGCCTCTCAACTAACTCCCCAACAACAACCGTGGCGAGGGCTTTACTGCCCCAGAGCCCCCAGTCCTTAGCCCCACCACGGCCCCCACCACTCACGCAACAGCTTGCCCCAGGCCTCCACAGACGTCTGCGCCATCACCAGCCCCCGCACCACCCGCCGTACCACGGCCTGCTCCCGATCACTCAGCAGCGACAGGACCGCGGCCGTCGGGTCGGGACCCAAATGAGCGGATGGTGCGGAGGCCGCCGTCACCCCCGCAGATTGTGTTGCTGGTCGTAGTGCTGATTGCTGCGCGGGTGGCTGTGCAGGACCTGGTAGGGAGATACGTGGCGCCGTGGCGGCGCGGCCGCGATGCCGGTCGTGAAGCGAGGGGGTGAGGGTGAGGGCAGCACGCGCACGCGGAAGCACATATGGGGGAATGCAGGGGGAGGGACACGGAGGGGGCATCACGCTCGGCGTCTTTTAGATCGACATCGAGGGAAGAATGGCCGGCATATACATGGAAAACTGTTGAGAATCGATCAAGACACGGCTCCCAATACGACATGGATAGGGGAGGGCCGGGGACGGGCCAGGCGTGGAGTCAAGGACATCGGAACATCCGCTCCGTGGATTCGTCCCCGTCGCTCGGCCCTCCATCTGTTCAACCTCAACCAAGGCATCCTCCTCCTCCTCCACCTCCTCCTCCAATACCAACCCCGCGCCCCTCCCCCCCGGCTTCTCCTAGCCCCCGTACCTGGCAATGCCGAGGGCGCTTTCCCTCGTCCCGATTCTGGCATTAATGTTGGTGTTGGTGGCGGTGGTTGTGTGGGTATGTGTGTTAGCGGCGTGCCGTCCGGCCCCGCGAAGGTGAAGGTGTAGACCTCCCGGGGTCGGTGCGGTGAGGGACCCAGAGCCAGGACCGTGTGGGCGGGGCGGACGGCGGCGAGCAGCTGAGGGGTGAGGCTGCCCAGCAGCGCGTCCATTGAGGCGGCAAACTGGCGAAAAGCACAGAGAGTGTGTGTGTGTGCATGTGTTTTGTTGTGTACGTGTGTGTGCGTGTGTTTTGTTGTGTGCATGTGTTTTGTTGTGTGCGTGTGTTTTGTTGTGTGCGTGTTTTGTTGTGTACGTGTGTGTGCGTGTGTTTTGTTGTGTGCATGTCTTTTGTTGTGTGCGTGTGTTTTGTTGTGTGCGTGTTTTGTTGTGTGCATGTGTGTGTGTGGGGGGGGGAGAGATAGAGGGGATTGGCAAAAGGGAGTGGGATGTGATGTGATGTGGGTCAGGCGGGAATGGGAAGAAGAGCTTCCGAGGCTAGGATGAAACGAGACGGGACTTCACACGAGGCCCGCGAAAAGACGGGAGGCCCGCACAAAGATGTGCATACATTCGTACATGGAAAACTCCTAGCTGGATCAAAGTATGGAGTATAGGGTGTTTGGGTACGGTGGGGTGGGGAATGATGCAACTGTCGTGAGGGTCGGTTGCTTCACCCTGCGTCGTAAAACCGTAAATCCTAATCGTGCCTCTGCCATTATCACTGAGATTCCCCCGTCGTCCCGCGGCCCCCTGGCGGGGGGAGCGGAAGATGTTCCTTTCGCTGCTGCACTAAAGTGACTCCCTCCCCCCCCAACGGAGCCCCCCGGGCGGACGGACCTTGGTCATCCGCTTCACAGCGGAAGGGGGTCGCAGCCTCCGGCCCTTGCGGCCGCCCGAGGACCTCCGGCTTTCCTCGGCTTGCTCCTGGAGGGCCTCCAGAGCGTTCTAGATTGTACATCGGCATCCGGGAGGAAAGGGTGAAGCAGCTCCGTGCGTGTCGGGAAATTTGCTTGAAAAGCTTTAATGCAAATTCATGCACTGGGAAAATGGCACATCCTAAAAGATACGCGGAAAGGGATGCTAAGAACGATGAGTTGCTTCATTCCTGGCTGCCGCCATTTGTTTTCTTATGCTGTTCCGCTGCACGGGGTTGATTACCCCGCCATGGCTTCGCCGTTGCTGTTCTGCTGCTTTACAGGGCATGCCGTTCTCTCACCTGCAAGTCTTCACGCAATAGCTCATAAGGAATATGTGTCTGGCCCCGGGTGCAGATGACGAATTTGATGAGAGCGTGGAGAAGGCTGGTGGCAAGGCTGGCGTTGAGAAAAACGTCGCCAAGCGGCAGCTCTAGGCGCACGGGCAGCGGTGCAGGGGCGGACCGCGCAGAGCGGCGGCCTCCGGTGTTGGGGGGCCTCATCTCAGCCTACGGCACCCGAGTTAAGCCTAGCTATAGTAAGGAAGCATATTGGCTGGGTTTTCTTCTGGAAATTCGGTGGCTTTTTTGGCGGTTTGCTTTGTCTTGATCGCGCCCCGGGACGAGTCATTCCGGTATACATGAGTGCCACGCATGAGGCTGTCAGATCAACACCTGTATGGAGCAAAGCCATTATAAATCTTTTGGGCCTGGGAAGTACAGCGCCCAAAAATGCGACAGGTTATGCTGAAGGTATGTGGTAGCTGTTGTGTTGTAATACGACCCCCGGGTCACACAAATCCGGAACGTGGCCTGCAAGGGTGTGAGTTCGCCGTGATGCTCTGCCGTCCTTCATCACACCAGCTGACACGGTCCGCAGCTCCGCTATAGCGGAGTTCAACTAATAACAAGGGCGTTCCGGGCTTTTAATTTAGGAAGTTTGTAACTACTACTATCAATATCCGACGTGAATGCTTCCTGGGCCTCAATTTCTATGGCGAATCGCCGAGTCACTTCATACGACATGGCAGAAACTAAGACGTGGTGAGCATTTTGGCCGCATGCCGTGGTAGGGCGCGTGCACCAAGACTCCAGGCCCATGATTGTTACGCCCCCGGCGTGACCTCGTCGCAAGCATCTGTGGCATCTGGGCGTCAAGGTGTGGACGCCGGGGCAAAGCTCAAAGCTCTTCATCCCCTGATAGCGTTGTATGAAGCCAGTACATGAATTTGGAATTTACAGGGGGCTGAGGGTCACACTGATCTAGCCGACACGCACATCCTCCTCCTGCGTGCACATAGGGCACTGTGCACACCATCCACTGTAAGACAACATGAACCCGCGAAATGAACGCGACGCCCTGGTAAGCTTACTACGGTGCCCCACGCGTCAAATGGTCGCCCTGAACCACCATTCCAACCCCTGGGATGCACCCGGTGGGGTAATATCTGCCAGGCGGCTAGACCTCCATCACGCCCAGCGCCGAACTGATCGGGCCCCGAAGGGAACAGTCTGCCTGGAAAATGACTGCCATGACCCCCACTCTCCCACACCCGGTTATAAAGACTCGCCCCTGGCTGTCCAAGCCTCATACAACGAGGTGCCAACAGAAATGGCACTTATGTAAAGTGCCCAGTCATACCGCCGCTCCACCTTGAAGTACCGTCTGCTCCAAACCGTGCCTAATTGCGGTTCGCGTGCGTCATGTGAACAAAAAGCCCAACTCAATTCACCCTGAGCTACTCACTGCGGCTCCGAGCAAGCCAAAGCAGTAATAACTGTTTACTTCTTCCGGCCCTTGCCCTTCTGCGCAGCCGGAGCAGGCTTGTCCTTAGCCGAAGGGTCCTCCGCCTTTCCAGCTTGAAGCACAGGCACAACGCTAAGCTCTTCGAGCTCAGCAAACCGCTTCTTGAACTTGTTCAGCTGACCATCGTCCAACACCAGAGTCGTCCTGTTGCCCTGGTAGAAGGGGTGGTTACCAGAGTAGATATCTACGTTGTAGGTAGCCTTTGTGCCACCGACGGTCATGACCTCCACACCGTTGCAAATGACCTTAGCCTCCGGGAACCACTGCGGGTGAATCCCGTCCTTGCGCATCACCGCGGCAGTGGCACCGCGCGTAGCATGGCCAATGCGCACGTTGCTGAGGCGCGAGCCGGAGAAGGCAGTGACGCGCGAACCGGTGTAGGTCGCCATTTTGTGGAGCCGCTGGACTTGCGCCTCTCCCCTACAGCACCAAGCAAGTAGTTCAGTAAAATGCTTTCAAGAGATAAAAATACGCAAATCCAATAGAGACAGTTTCAAGGCAGGTGACAAGTGACAAGGACGTCGTGGCCACAAAGCGACTCTATGCGAACGCTCCTGACCTTGGCGATATCCTGGCGCAATTAACAAAGTAATTCACTTGGTTGTTAAGGCGTACAAGATTGATGGAGATGGGTCTTGTGCTGAGTTGTTCCTGGGCCGCCGCACAGGGGTGTACGACTCGTCCTGTTGGGGCTGTTCATAAATTCCTCAAGTTGAAAAGTCGAATGCATACACGTTGGAATGAATATATATTATATGCTGTTTAAGTCTGAACTGCTATTCGCCATGACTTCATGCAATCCATGGCACAGCAAACAACTTGGGCGCGCCTAGAAGACACCATTTTGTATCCCCGGGCCTTTTGCTGCTGTATATTTGGTTATGTAGCCTATCCTAAATCTACATTCTGGGGTGAAGAGTCTCCCTTGGAGCTGCACACCTCGATGCATTACCCAGCAAAGTGACCCGGGTTGGGTGCATGTCCCATCGGGGACTCTCTGTCGTAACTCATTTTGCGCGTGATCGTAGCACCCTTTGGCAGACACCTCTGTAGTCTATCCAGGCAAACGCTTAGTAGGCACATTCTGAGGGCAACGCTGTCGATACGGGTAGTTGTATGCGCCTCACTTTTGGGGAGGCAGACGCAGGCATCATACTACCCCACGCCCCAGGTAGCGCCATGCATTAACGGAGAAGAGGTACAAGAAAACGGCCCTGCGCATCTCTAAGCAGCAGGGATGGCCAGGGCTGGGGGGAACCGGGCTTCTTGTACTATGTCTCAGCTCGAAGAGGTACCTCGATTAGCAATTGACCTTGGCATTGGGTTGCAACAGTTGTAGCGGTTGCCTAACCTTATTTGCGTACGTAAGTGGAAAAGCAGTCACGGGAATGGACCTTGTCTTAACCTGTCGCAAGGTGTCGGTGGTTGTCGTTAGGATGTCACGGTCACGGCAGGGTGGACGGGTCAGACGCATCCGGGATCTCCCCTTTACAATAAGCACTACCAGCAGCGAAAGCGGTATGGACGTTCCACAAGTTCTAAGTTCTCTTATGAGGGCAAAGTGAAGAGAGCGTTTTACCGTATGACGCGTATGACCAGGACCCTGCCTAAAAGGTAAATTCCCTTGAACTGTGGTGAGCACGTGGTAGTTAGAGCTCAATGTTCAGCAACCTCAACTAAGCCTGCGGGAGTGCGGGTTGTCCGTCAGGTGTTGCATTGAGACGTACAGTTAGTTGCTTGTTATCATTAACGATTAGACCCCATACTGATCAGCAGCTTCATTGAGACTCTTGTTGCAAATCCTTGTTGATATTTACGTATTCGTTGGGTTCACTGTTTAGGAAACGGTCCGTTCCTTTTTGGGGGTGGCTAGCAGGTGTTCGATGACTTTACAAGGAACTCGTTATTGTTTTTGCAAATAGCTTGACAGAACAAAATGGGACAATTTTATTCCAGGGAATTCGATGGCGATCCCTACATCGACCTTATGCGCTCGCTTCCCGAAAGGGAGCTGGTGTGGTGGGCTCAAAAAGTAATTTGGGTAAGCTTAATAAATTAAGGCTTCTCAGCATTTGCTGCGCTTATGCATCGTTCGTGCCGGTGCCGGCGGCTAGGCTACACAATTCCTGCATACCCGTCTGTGTTCACACAATTACTAACATGCCAAATGTGAACCTAGTGATCAGCAGATGATCTTTCTTTGAATCGTCCTTTGCGGCCGGCGATCGTGCCCTTCCAACCACCTGACGGGATTATTAAGCCATTCACAATGATGCCACTCAACAACGCCCACTCAACTACCCCCGCTGGCCTCTCTGTACCTTCCCCTGACACCAAACACCTCACACACATACAGACATACACATACATTCCCTACTCCACTGGACCCTCCACCCAAACATTCAATGCACACAGCTTGCGGAAGGCTTCACCTTCGTGGACCATTTTGCGCGCACCTATCCGCGCCTCTTCCAGCACAAGTGCCCCCGCTGTAACGGCGCCGGCGTGCTGACGTGTCCTGGATGCGCCGGAACCAAGGTGCCGCTAGGCCTAACCGGTTCGGGCCGCAGGGCCTTATTAGGGCCACCCGCTGTGGATCCAGCAACGAACCAGGGACGTGATGGATCATCTAAACCGCTGAACAGGTGAGGAGAGCGGACAAACCGACCGGCGTGGGATGTGGAACAGTACATACGAGGGAAAGGGAAAGTGCACAGATAATTTTCCGCGGCTTTGGAATATTCTCCGCGGCTTTTCCCTGTGAGTGACGGAAAGATTATGATGAGCCAAACTTAAAAGTCGCAAAACCAACTCGGATTAAATCCCTCTCCACATAGCTCGCCGCCCTGCTGCTGCTGCGGCGGCGGCGGCCTGCAGACCGGTGCCAAGTCCTCCGCACCTTCCCACCTTGTTTTCCTTATTTGCATATGCTTCCCCTTTCCTGCAACGTTACAGCAAGCTGCAGGTGTTTGGGGCGCTGCCGGCGGCGGCACCCATGGGCGCCGGCAATGGCGACGCCGCCACTGCTACTGCCACCGCTACCGGTGTTGTTGGCAGTTGCCGCATGTGTGGCGACACGTGCAACTGGGATGTGGAGAGTGAGTGGATGGACCGGTGGCGAGAGTGGGAGTCCAGATTGGCCTACTACGACAAGGCCACGGCGCCGCTCATGGACGAATGGTGAGTTGGGTTCGTTGGGTTGGGTTGGGTGGTTAAGAAATGATCGGAATCTGGTCAACAGCGCTTTTTGCACCTCCTCCTCTGCTGGGTTGGGTTGTGTTGGTTTGGTTTGGGCGGCACGTGCGGAGCTGCACTGCTTGGTGATGGAGCTCGCGGACGGGTGGCGGGGGAGAGGGTGGCGGGGGAGAGGGTGGCGGGGGAGAGGATGGCGGGGGAGAGGATGGCGGGGGAGAGGGTGGCGGGGGAGAGGATGGCGGGGGAGAGGGTGGCGGGGGAGAGGATGGCGGGGGAGAGGATGGCGGGGGAGAGGGTGGCGGGGGAGAGGATGGCGGGGGAGAGGGTGGCGGGGGAGAGGATGGCGGGGGAGAGGGTGGCGGGGGAGAGGGTGGCGGGGGAGAGGATGGCGGGGGAGAGGATGGCGGGGGAGAGGATGGCGGGGGAGAGGATGGCGGGGGAGAGGGTGGCGGGGGAGAGGATGGCGGGGGAGAGGATGGCGGGGGAGAGGATGGCGGGAAAAGCAACACGCAAAAAGCCACATTGAGCAATAGTTTTTGGAGTTGAATATGATGGAGATGAAATTGATTTTGAAGGCGTGGTGGGGTTGCACAGTGAACACAGTGAATTTGTGGGAACCAACCGAGTCAACAGATCTGTGCGATTGTTGGGTTTCGGAGCTTGTGGGGGTGACGTGATGCTCCAAGCCTCCGTGGCCTGCATGGGGCTGCGGTCGGAGGGTCGGGAGTGGGGCGCGTCGCGTACTGCAACCTTTTGGGTTTTAAGCACATTTGAGTGCATGCGACTGCCGATTGTCACGGCATAATTCTTACTGTTGTCGTACGACATTGTTGTTGTACGGCAGGTACGAGGATGTTATTAATGCGGGCAATCTGGAGGAGGACACTCCGCCAGTGGAGGACGATCCGCCTGGTCCCGAGGTGAATCCGGGGAGGGAGGGGAAAAAAGGGGAGGTACGGTACGGTACCTCCAATCTTGTACCATCCGTGTCATATCTTGCGTGTCCGTGTAGTCGATGTTACCAACGGGGGCCATGGACATGGTTTCCCCCATGACCCCCTCCCCGTCCTACCTGCCCGCCCGCCCTCCTTCCCGCCCGCCGTCTATGTCGACATTTAACTTTCCTTGCTTCTTGCGTACGGCTTGAACCCCCCTTCCCTCTGTCCGTACCCAACCTCCACGCTGCTCAGGTGACGGGTCGGTGGGCGGATGATGACCGGCTGATGGCCAAGGATAAGAAGAGGTTCGCGGCAATCGTCAAGAGGTTCGGTCACCCGTACGACGCGGACGCAACACTAGGTTACCAGGTGAGAGCGTGTATGTATCTCACACACGAGGCCCCCATGCCCCTTCGTGCCTCGGCACGAGCACACGCACACGTTTATACAGTAATAAAATTAGTACTAGTACTTCATCCCTGGACTACAATTACTTGTCTTTTGTAAAGCTGTGCATATAGTGACTTCCTTGTTCAACTTGTACCTACTCCTCGCAGCTCGATTATAATCAATACATGAAGCTACAAATAGTTCTTTATTTTTGGGGGGATGGAAACCATAGTCCCTAACTGTACATCACAACACATTACACATGCGCAAGCAAACACTTCCATCGCCCTCGTCTGACACCCCTCTAATCCCCCCAAGCCGATTTAGTCAAATTTGGCCCAACTGTCCTTTCCGCACTTTCCGCATCTGACGCTTCGTTTCTGTCAACTAGGATTACCGTATCTGCCTCCCGTGGCACCTGCCGTACTACTATAACTCCTTCATTGCCCGCCCTCCATCGACCCTTCGCGAACACCCCCAACCGCCACCTACTGTCAACCGCCAACCCCCAACCAGATCGTGGATCCAACCGCCTCTATGGGTGAGAACATCTGGAACATGGCGCAGGTGGGTGCGCTGGCGTGCTTGTCAGGTTTTATGTATGTATGTCTGTATGTCTGCCAGCCCTGTGGTTGGCCCTCTCCTCCCCACCCCAGCACGCACGCGCGTCAGGCTCGCATTTTGCTTTCCGAAACACACCAGGTCCGGTTACATTAGCTTCCCCTCACTCCTCCCACCGCGCCGCACCCACCCCTCGGCGCCTCGTGCAACACGAAACCACCGCGCCAAGCCGTTCTCACCAAACTCCACGTCGACTCCGTACCTTCCACACACGCGCCCGGGGGTTAGTTCCCAGCGTCGGCCTCTCCCACCGTCGTGACCTATCCTTCCCACACAACTCCGCAGGTTTACAATTCGACGCCTCCGGAGCTCAATCCGTGGAGGACCGCGCATTTTGCCGGGCGAGGTGGGGGCGGCGGCCCCGGCAGCAGCGGGAGCGGGGGCATCGGTGGTGGCGATGTGGAGGGTGGCCTCAACCCGGCGTTGGCAACACAGGCGGCGCTGGACGCATTCGACCAGGAGGTGCGCGAATTTAATCGCATGATTTTCTCTCGCGCGCCGTGCGCTTGTATGTATGTATGCATGCATGTATGTATGTATGTGTACAGTACACATCTGGGTGTTATGCACCGCCCTCGTTTATTTTAGAGTTTCACCACCTTGTCGTACGGGGCAAACTGGCACTAGTACTGGCAATGGACAGAGGTACCGTTAAAAGGGCCCTAACGGCAAAAACTACCGAAGCTTTGGCTGGTGTTCACGGCCCAGGCAGACATTAGGACATTTAGGGTTTGGCACTACTGGTAAGGCGCGACCATTGCCCCCGGGAGATCCTGGGATCGATACCCATTAGGGTCAAAGTCCTTCCGATGGTGGAAGGCATAGCGCCCCTAGTTGATGGACGGTGGTGACCTGGGATAAAGTTAACCTGCGAGCCGACCAGGAACGGAGTTGGGCCGCTGTCGACCCGGCAGATTCCGTTGGATGCTGGTGGTGGGTGCGGAACCTGAGCGATCCACTGAGAAGTTGACTAGGGTGACTGGATGAGGGTGCCCCGAAATACCGGGGAAGGCAGGGTTTCGCAGGGTAGCTGCCACGGGCGAAGGTACACCCCCCTGTTTCACACATCATACATTAGAATGTCGGAGAGGGCGCTGTCCACGGAACCTTGAAATCGCGTGCTATCTATTGTGCGTGTATGTGTATGTTGTGTGGCTTTTCTCCCCTTGAATCCCTCTTCCCCCCACCAGTCGGCGGAAAGAACCCGCGCCGCGGCCGTCCTTAGCCTCCCCGTTTGCACTAATGGGCTGTACGGAGATATATTTATTTTTTGATGGTCGCTTCACACGTGGGTGGTAACGGGCCTGTGGGCTGTTTGCATGCAGATCGTGCAAGAGGCAGCCATCATGCAGAACCTGGAGGCCGCCGTACAGGACCTGCCCAAGCCGCACCGCTTCCTGGCCACCGCAGGTGCGCTGCGTGGGGCGCGGTGCGGAGAAGGGGGGGCCGTTGAGGAGAAGGGGGGGGTTGCTGAGGAGAAGGGGGGGGTGCTGAGGAGAAGGGGGGGGTGCTGCGGAGAAGGGGGGGGTGCTGAGGAGAAGGGGGGGGTGCTGAGGAGAAGGGGGGGTGCTGAGGAGAAGGGGGGGGTGCTGAGGAGAAGGGGGGGGTGCTGAGGAGAAGGGGGGGCCGTTGAGGAGAAGGGGGGGGGGTGCTGAGGAAAAGGGGGGGGTGCTGAGGAAAAAGGGGGGGTGCTGA